CTAGAGAAGACTTCATATTTTCTATTCCTGAAGTAGAAATTTTGTTAAAACAGACACTGAGTTATATTATTATAGCTCATCTTAATAACTAACATAAGAAACTAAAAGGAAGACCGAAAGGAACTGAAAGGCCGGACTTCTATTTGAAGGCCTTGCAAATTTCGCTGTGTGGAATCCAACTTTCTTGTTCCAAAAAAAGTAACAATATGGCCCGGCTTCAACAGGATAATTCTATTATAGTTGTCGCGCTTTGAAAGCATCACTGGGCGGGAAAGGGCTGTTGCATGGCCACTTACACTACGCACTAAGTTTTGTTACCCTTAATGAGAGTCCGTATAATTCTTCTAATTGTTTCACGTTATTTGTTGTTCGACTAATTTGATGAAATCAAGTTTCATACTTTCTACTTTTTGCCAGCAAAGTCATTAACAGGTTGATTAAAGTTACAATTAGTTAAACTTGTACAGGTCAGAAAAATTAAAATTAAAAAGAACTAGGTAACTTATAAATCAGTGTCAATGATGTGTAAGATAATTTGCGTATCTAATGAATTGTGCATAAATAATTCATTGAGAAAACAATTACGCGCTGGAGGCGGTGCAAACACCACAACTGAAAAAGGCATCCATGGTATACATAGTTCCTCTTTCGCGTATAAGTACGCATATAAAGGGATCGACTGTTAATGTTTTATGAACAGAATTCAAACGCACCTGGTGCTCGATCTCGAAGAGCAACCTGGACTAAACGCAATCAGACTAATCGCTACGTTTATAACATCTAGCAATAATCCTGTACTTATCTTTTAAAACAGGGTAATAGTAATAATACGTAATTCCGCTTTCTGAAAGGGAGCGGGCAAACGAAAATATCTGGACCCGACACTCAATGGAGACAAAAATTGCCAAAACAGAGGTTTCGATCCTTAACCTGGAAAGACATTTGAACAATCGGACATGTCCGAAATCATTGCAGTACTCTGCTCGGGCCAATATCGCGCCTCATAGTGCTTCCCAAATGGAAATCAAAGACATCAAAGCAAACTGCCGAACATGCGCTTGTTAACGCCCTCGCGCGCTTCCATAAACTAAGGCTTGACAGCCATAAATTAGAAACAAATCAAAGACTAGGCCTACACTTTCGTCTCCAAGACGTACTGATGAAAATAGGCATGGTCGTTTTGAGTGCAACCGGCGCCAAACATTGTAAACAACGACAATTTAAAACTTACCGAATTGGAGAAAAAGATCTTGGCACTCACGACTATTGTGTCAACACATGTAATTAACACAAATAAACATGTTGAAAATTACAACATTGTCTTCTCTGCCCGGGGGTACTCCCAGAAAAACATTCAATTGGGTGGGGTTGTGCGGCCCGCTTCAAA